GCGGGGGTCCGGCGGCCGCCCCCGGCCTCCTTCCCTGCGCGGTCAGCGAACAAAGGGATGGTGATGAGCAGGAGCAGGAGCGGAGAAGGCAGGCTGTGCCCCAGCAGCAGTGCAGCCATTAGTGTGCTCGGATCCTTCCTCTTCCTCTCTCCGTCTCCCTCCGTGTCTCTCTCTCTGCCTTCCCTGGCTAGGCGGCCAGCTCCACCGGCCCGGCCCCGCTCCGTCCCCCGTGCTCCCCGGTCTCGCCCCCGGCCCCGAAAGCTCGCATTTACACGCTGCGCTCGGTAAAAGGCTCGGGCTCCGGTGTCAGGGACGTGGCACCGCTCTTTCTTCGCTCTCCTTTTCATTCATCTCAAACATGGCTCTCAGCAGACCCCAATGGTTTCATCCATCCTCCCGCTACACTCCCTTCTCACCCCCCCCCCGCTCCATTCATCCCCTCCCTCACCCCCCTCCTCAGGATGAGAGAAGAGGGAATGGTTCGGCCCGGCGCGCATGCGTTCTCCCCCCTCCTGAAGCCCCTGCCGCCATGTCCACTGCTGGCAGGCGGCCGCTGTCGGCCGAGCGGGTATTCTCTTATTGAGGGCAGTTCTTATGAATGGAAAACTGGCTTTCCGTGGCTTACTGCCCCTTATGTGTGAAGGGGGAGGCAAAGCTCGCAATTAATCGAATCCAAATCCGCCCCCCCAAAAAAAAATCTTAACAGTGCATCATTTTTTATTGTTTCGGGTTATATAAAAATATTTTTTTTTGCCCCCATTGCGTCTATCTGGCCGGTGAGAGCGGGGTGTGAGCGGGACGTCTTCCGCCAACTGCTGCCTGTTATGTAATGCCGGGGAGGGCGCGGTGGGGTTCGGGGGTCACGTCGCGAACAGCGGGCGGTCGGACCTCAGAGGTACCAAAGCGATGAGTCTCGCCCAGCCCCCCCTCCCCCCCCCATACACACCCACACCTTTCCTTGTTTGCCGTGTCCGTGCTGTCTCTCCTGTCTCTCCTCTCTGTCCCTAGCCTTGGCGATATGTCTAACGCTTTTCGAGTGCGCATGGTCCACGCCAATATACACATATATAAAATACATCTGCTGTATGTAAAATACATCTCTCCTCTTTTCAACAATAGGGATACATCTATTGTTATAAGAGAAGCCAACGCAGAAGCAGGACGCGGTCGCCACAATGCTTCTGGTGCAGAGGTGGACAGAGGGCTGGGCAGCCCAGCGGCCGTGGGCCAGGGTCCGGTGCCTGTGTCGCGGGCTCCTCCTGGGCCGAGCTGGCCCGCCCGAGTACACGAGGACTGCCCGCGGGAAATATCGGATCGGTGGGCCGCCTGTGAGCTGGCACTTCTGTACACCAAGGGTGGTGGGAGCATGGGACAAGCTGACCAGCCAGTTCAAGGAACCTCTGGATCAGATCCCAGCAACGCCAAGTGACCTCGCCAGTGTGAAGTGTGACCCCCTCTTTGGGTGGGGGGGGCTGTGCACCCACGGAGCAGCCCTGTGGGCGTGGGAAGGAACCGGCGGACTCCACACGACAGGTACCATCGGGCAGAACCGAACCCGGGACCCCAGAGCTGGAAGGCGGCCACAGTAGCCAGCCGGTCGGACCGGTTTCTCTCCGGCGGGGCCCCCGTGCTCTCGGCAGGCAGGCCTCACTCACGCGCGACACCAGGAGACGGTTGCCATGGGAACGGGGGAAACGGGGGTCCTCTCCGTCCTCGCTGGATGGAGGTCCCCCCCGCCCCCCCCGCTGGAGGGGGGTGGGGGTCGCGGTTGAGTGGATTTCGGAGGCTCGGTGCCTAAAAGAGGCTTTTCTTTTTTAAATAAAAGCGTCTGTAGTAACGGAGCCGGGGCCCCACTCACCTCACACACCCACCCCCCCCCTCCTGCCGCTTCCTCACTCAACACACACACACACCACCCCGCTCTGTTTTCTGCCACCGCCCCCGCGGCTCGGCGCCAGGTGGTAGCGGCCGGTGCCCATCTGGCTGACGGGAGGGCGGTGCGGTAATATGTTTCCCAGCAGCGGAGAAGGTGTGTTTATTCAGGGGGGGGGAGAGAGCCGGGGGACGAGAGGGGCGAGAGAAACGCGTGAATGGCAGGCGGCCGCCTTTTGTTGTATCGACACACACACCGCCGTGCGGAGAGGGAGGGAGAGAGAGAGACGGTTCCTTTGCCGAAAGAGAGCGAGGAAGGAGGACTGGTCAGCTCAGGTCTCCTTCCCGTCCGCTGTGGCTCTCGGCCTGCCCCCCTCCTCCTCCTCCTCCTCCTCCTCTCCTCTCTCCCCGCGCGGCTCCGGCCTGCCACGGGAGCGGCGTGTGTCTTGCGCGCGATTGTGACCCCCCGTGGGTCGCCTCACACGCGGGCAGGGAGGGGTCACTCGTCCGCCAGGCCCCGTCGGTCTCCGTGTCCCTGTGTCTGTCGGTGTCCGGCCGTGTGCGTGTCTCCGTGTGTCCCGTCCCATAAGACACGGGGACAGCCGCTACAGAGTATGTTCCTCTGTGGTTAAGAGCAGCAGCACCTGTTTATGTTTCCTTGTGTGTAATCTGTATGTCTGCCTGTGTGTGTAGTGTGTAAATTTGCTTGTGTGTGTGGAGGCTGTATGTCTGCTGGTGTGTGTGTGTGTGGATTCTGTCTTCTCTTGTGTGTGTGTGTGGAGTCTGTATGTCTGCTGTTGTGTGTGTGTGGAGTCTGTCTGCTCTTGTGTGTGTGTGTGGAGTCTGTCTGCTCTTGGGTGTGTGTGTGTGGAGTCTGTCTCCTCGTGTGTGTGTGTGTGTGGAGTCTGTATGTCTGCTGTTGTGTGTGTGTGTGTGGAGTCTGTCTGCCCTTGTGTGTGTGGTGTGTGTGTGTGTGAATTTGACATTCCCGGGTAACACAGCCAGACCAGATGTGCCCAGCGGAGTCACACAGCTCCTCTCCTGGAGAGCAGGAACTGCCCCTGCCTGGGGAGGAAGTCACCCAGATACCCCACCCCTCTCCCTCCCCTGAGCTGGGCGGGGAGGGGGGCAGCGGGATATCATTGGCGAATTGGAAACGGTGCAGAATGTGATTATTTTGCTGCAGGCTTCCCAGCTGTCGGGCCGAGGGGGGCTGGTGCAATTTAATTAGTCTTCTCCCCCCTCTTCCAGCGCTCATTACAGAGCTTCTCCCCGGGCACTCTCCCACGCGCTCAGACCCTTCCTGCACTCTTGCACTCTGGCCCAGACATCGGCCCCGGGCCAGTCCGGTCCAGTCCAGTCCAGACATCGGTCCCAGGCCAGTCCGGTCCGGTCCAGTCCAGACAGTGGTCCCAGACATCGGTCCCGGGCCAGTCCGGTCCGGTCCAGTCCAGACAGCGGTCCCAGACAGCGGTCCCAGACATCGGTCCCAGGCCAGTCCGGTCCGGTCCAGTCCAGACAGCGGTCCCTGGCCAGTCCAGTCCAGTCCGGTCCAGACATCGGTCCCAGACATCGGTCCCGGGCCAGTCCGGTCCGGCCCAGACATCAGTCCCAGACATCGGTCCCGGGCCAGTCCGGTCCGGTCCAGACATCGGTCCCAGACATGGGTCCCGGGCCAGTCCAGTCCGGTCCAGTCCAGGCATCGGTCCCAGACATCGGTCCTGGTCCAGTCCAGGCATCGGTCCCGGGCCAGTCCGGTCCGGCCCAGACATCAGTCCCAGACATCGGTCCTGGGCCAGTCCAGTCCGGTCCAGTCCAGACATCGGTCCTGGGCCAGTCCAGTCCGGTCCAGTCCAGACATCGGTCCTGGGCCAGTCCAGTCCGGTCCAGACATCAGTCCCAGACATCGGCCCCAGTCCGGTCCAGCCCAGGCCCGTCCCGCAGATGGCTGGCCGGGGACAGCCGGCCCGGTTAGGGCTTTTCCACGGCTCGCTGCCTCTGAAGAAGCACAGACTCATCAACGGGTCAGACTAAAAGTCGCTCAAGAGGCGCAGAGCTGGTGGGCGTTCAGAAACGTCCAGTCTGGTCCAATCCGGTCCGGAATCGTTCGGGTATAACTCGGGACTAACTAATCACCATGGAAGCAAGAAGTGGGGGTCACAACAAGAAGAGGGGCCTAGGTAGAGGAGCTCACTGCTCCAGTAACATGATCTGCCCTGTAAACGGGCACCAGCCTCACCTGCTCTGGGTTCAAGCACCAGTGCTGACGGCTGACCTGCTCCAGCAGGTGGGAGCTGAGCCGGGCCTGAGGGTCTGGAGCTGCAGCGAGATCCGGAGCCCAGACACACGGGGGACAGCTTCTTCCACCAGCACCAGGACGCCCCCTTCTCAATCTGCTAGTGCCACAACTCTGTCTCTCCCGCCTGCGAGTGGAGCTGCGCTTGTGTGGAGCAGAGAGCAGCAATAATAGACTGGAAGCCAGTGGGAATCCTCATGAGGGCGGCAGCACCAGCGTCTGTGTGAGAGTGTGCGTGTGTGTTTATAGGAATGCATGCGTGTGGATGTGTGTTTATTTGAATGCACGTCTGATCCATGTGTGGTTCTGTTTATTTGATTGCAAGTCTGTACGTGTGCGTTGATTTGAATGCATGTCTGTATGTGTGTGTGTGTGTGTGTTTATTTGAATGCATATCTGTACATACGTGTGTGTTTATTTGAATACATGTGTGTACACCTGGGTGTGCTAGGAGGAGAAAGCCGCTGTTACCCAGAGCCCCACCGCTGACCCCGAGCAGCTCTGCGCCTGTGCTCACAGTCCGCTCATTTAGCTCTGACCGAGCTCCTCTGACAGGGGCAGGCAGGGGCTAACGGCCCCAGGGGGGCTATATTTCTCAGGGGGAGGGTGTGAGGGAGAGGGGGACCGGCGGAGGACAGGGGGCACAGCTGAAGGCAGTGCAGTCAGCGGTCTGCAGGAAGGCCCACTGGAGCGACAGCCTGTGTCACCAGCCTTTCGCACAGCCTACTGTACCTGAGGATCCTGGGCTTGTGCTGATCGCCAGGGCTTCTGAAACTGTGCAAACAGGTTCGGAATTTTACTGTGAAATAGAACAGCTCTCGGGGATGGGGGGGCTCAGAGGGAACGGGAGGATCAGGGATACAAGGGGGATACGGAAGGAGGGAAGGAAGGGAGGGAGAATGAGTGCACTGGTCAACCCCCTCGGTGAAGGCGCTTGGATTCCGGAGCGGGAGGAGAGAGGAGCCGGGCGCTGACCTTCCCGGATGGAGGGATGAGCACTCTCTGGGCCGGGAGAGGGGCTGGACAAGGAGGGGTTACTGAGCCCGGTGGCGCAGGTCTTACAGTAACGAGATAGAGAGCTTTAGTGTCAGATAGGGATGATCTGTGTTTAGTGGGATTATGTTAATCACCCTGGCTCGGCGGCGGGGGGGGTGGGAGAATAATGCCCCAGCCTCCTCACCCTCACACAGCCAGCACAGCAGTGGCAGGGCTGGTGCTCCGCGGGACAGGGCAGGGGTGACAGCTGCTGCAGAAAGCCCAGAGCTCCTGACGGACAGAAGTCCCTCTCGCTCTCCTGCCCCCCTCCCTCTCCACTGCTCTTTGTTCCTCAGTAGGACTCGTTTATTCATATCCGTCCTCCTGATGGAGACCCCCTCCCCAAGAACACACACATGGGCGTTTAGACCAGAGTCACTGAGCTCTCCTGGGCTCTGCTGACCTCCTTCAGCTGCCCCCCCCACCTCAATTTCTCCCTTCTGTACGGCCCTGCTGTTAAAATATTCTGCATCTTTCTCTCCCCTCCTGCCGCACGGACTCATAATAGTGTCCTCCTCTCTCTCCCTCCCCTGTCCTCCTTTCTCTTTCTCTCCACCCTCCTGTCCTCCTCTCTCCCTCCTCTGTTCTCTCTCTCCACTCTACTGTCCTCCTCTCTCCATCCTCTGTTCTCTCTCCACTCTCCTGTCCTCCTCTCTCTCCCTCCTCTGTTCTCTCTCCACTCTCCTGTCCTCCTCTCTCCCTCCTCTGTTCTCTTTCTCCACTCTCCTGTCTTCCTTGCTCCCTCCTCTCTCTCCACTCTCCTGTCTCTCCCTCCTCTCTTTCAGTCATGAGAGCACAAGAAAGGTGACAGACAAGAGGAGCCATTCAGCCTGTCCTGTTCGGTAGTTAGTAGTTCATTGGTCTCAGGGCCTCACCCAAGCTGTTTCCTGAAGGAAACTGGCGAATCGGCTTCAACAACATGGCTGTGTAGCTTGTTCAGACTCCCACAAGCCTTTGTGTACAGACGGGCCTGCTGTTTTCCAGTCCCTGTCCCCTTGTACTCAGTTGTATTATACCCTCCTCACTCACTCTTTTCAGCCTTCATTTCCTGTCTCACATCAATGACACCTCCTGTCGATCACTGAATGAACACTCAGTCATCTAAGCAAGTAGCTGTTAAGAACTTATTTTGAATGAACGTTTGTTTAGATTCAGGTTGCCAAGAGTTGGGTTCACAGATGCCTAAAAGTATTATCTTAATTAAAAGCAACTGGAGTTAATTTGGTTTAAAATTAATCAGTGCCTTAAAAAATAAATAATTTACATTAGATTTGGATGTGCCTTCAAGCAGTGTTTTACTGTGAGCTTGGCTGTTGATACTATGCTGCTTGTGGAAGTTAAATCTACATTTTAAATGCTAAAGAAGTATTACATTTGTGCCCAAAAATTCAAATTAAGCACAAGTTCCCCATCTAGTGAAAATGTATAGTACTGCAGGCAAACCTGAGCTAGTAGCAGTCTGTATTTAAGCAGAGTAAACAATCAGGGAAAATATCTCCTTGTCTTCCACCACACAATTCATAGGGCCAGAGAGAGTGAGGCAGTGTGGGACAGTGGGTAGAGCCGAGAGAGAGGGAGGCAGTGTGGGACAGTGGGTAGAGC